AATATAATTGATCTCATGGTAACACTATTATTAGCTAACAATGTGAACACATCATCATGGTGCGTCTTCCCTTTGAAAAAATTGTTGTATTGTTACATTTTATTTTTATTCAGGAAGCTAGTTGAGCTTTTGCTCTCGTCATTACGATGCATAATAAGTTCGTGCCTTTAATTTATTGAAGGTTAATTGAAATGCAAAAGCCGAATATAGAACATTAAAGATAAAAATTGTTGTTGTTTTTTGCAGAAAGTTAAATTGACTGCAGAACGGAGAAGGTACTTCTGAAAACAATTTAAAAAAAAACATCCGAGGCAAACGCCTCTGATTTATATACTTAATATGCTAACTAAAATATTCCATTATCTTGTCACGAAAAATTCATAATTTCTTTTTAAAAGTGTTTTTTAACATGGCTATGCCAAACATTTCTCAGCAAAATGTTCATTGACGTGTGAGTGATTTTGGCAATAACGTTTTTAAAACTAACATTCATGTAACATAATGTTTGGCGAATCTGCTAATGATACCCATGTCAACAAACGACCATGGTCTTCTTTTCGGGGATCAATACTAAGAGAAGCAAATTTGAACAACACGTGACCATTGTCATAATAATTTGAAGGTCTGGATAATTATTAGTATTTAATGCAAATATAGTTTGATAAATATTAACGTTTCCGAACAAAATATTGAGTGATATTCGGGAAAAATAATGAACAAAATATATTGCTTTCGTTCATTGACCGCCAAGATTCCCGTCTGATAAATGACATAATACCTGTACGTTTGTATAAATCTGATTTATATATTTTAAAAGTTTCGGCTTGTTGAGCAGTTGTAATTGGTCTCCACCTCAGAAATGACAACTCATCACATTCTCAGAAATGACATTTCCATTTCAATCTAATTATCTAATCTAATATCATTCTCCGGAAAAGAAATATATTCAATTGAAAAAAAGTGACCAATAATGAATTACCCGTGTTTACCATCATGAAAAACAATCTTGATAATTTGTATTTGTGAAAGTCTTTCTTTCACATAATTAGTGGAATCAATGTCAGATTAAAATTATTTTAGATTTTTGGAGATATGTGAAGACCAATACAATTGCAAAGGGTTAGAGAGTCCTATATGTTGCGATATGACATAATTGATATGACCCTGGTAAACACGCGGCCATGTTTGATTTCATTGTAGACATGTCTAGTCCATTCTTCTTATCACCTCACAAAAATGTGACGAATAATCTAATAATATAATCCAAAATTTAAAACGGCCACCTTTAGGAATGCTGTAGGTCTTATGTAAGTAGACATGCCGTCTTTGTAGTTTGCATCCGTAATGGTGTTAAACACTGTAATAGTAATCTCTTATGTCATACGGTCGGTTAGACACGGAGCAGACGAAGACGATTATGCGCAATTATATATTAAATGTTAAATTAAAGTACACCCTCAGAATATGAAGTTGGCTGATTTTATACATTTTTCTGATGGGATTCTGCTTGTTACAAATCTACGAAATCTGTCAACAATCAACGGATCAGAGAAGCCATAGAAGCATTATTGTGCCATGAACATGGTTATGTTATAGATTTATGTTCATATATTATGAGGTTATTACGAGGATACCTCAAAGTATGCACGAAGACAGTACAACGAAAGTACCTAGCGACGCGCAGTGGAGGTCGATGCGATGACGTACTGTCTAAATTTGGCAAAGTTTAGAACAGAATCAGCGAACTTCTTTGTATGGAATTCGGTCAAACTCCGGTGGCAGCCATGTTTGTTTTTATTATTAGAGGACGCTTATGCACGTAATCATTCCATATTTGGAATTCACATTTCCTTATATATGGTAGGATGAAAATACCGCAAAATTACGGCACGCTGTAACTGATGGCGTTACGGTGACAGGTGTATAATAATATATATATATATTATGTGTTATTTCGAGTGAAACACAAAGTAATGATGAATTAGACCGTCAGTACCTCAACAATCGATGTGTCAATTAATTGCTAACGACGGAGAGTTTACGCCAATCAACTTTGAAGTTCAGGACGTACTAGAGTTATTTCGTTATTGGCAATAACCAACACATACATGCATACTGCATTTTTACGCGACAGCGACCACTTTATGACGCTATTTCAGTGTTACTTACAACTTAGTATGACAAATATGGTGTTCCCTATTTTTCTGATTTGTTTTTATTATTTGAGCCCAGATAGCAATATCAGTCTTGCGTGCTTCACTGATTCACACACATATTCAATATATCGTATTATATTGGCAGTGATCAATGACTTGTCCATGCACTTGTATTACACAAATCTAATTAATAACAAATATAAATGCACTTGGTGAGTTTATTAGACTATTAATACGCACCAGTTGACGTGATTCCAACTCATACGTTCCAGTGAACACGTTTATATATAGAAATGCGTTCAATTAAATCACCCCCGAATGCAGTATATTTGGCAGTGTCGTTGTATCTGACATATGGTTTTCAGTGACAACATTTCTCTGAGCATCTGTCTTCTCGATGTTCGATTACCTGCCCTGCTATCACTCAGACCATGTTATCAGTAAATCTAATCATGCGTTCTAAAAATCCAATATACATAACATTCTATATTCATGTCGGAGAACATTGTCTGCTAAGTTTGAACTTTGTATGAATGAAGCATGTTATTGCATGTAATTGGGTCATGTACATTTCACTGTTCATAGAAAAGCGAGCAGCTCTCATGTTTCAATCAGTTATCACAGAATATGTACTTTATACTTTATGCGACCATGTGGACGATCATCATTGGAAAAATTCCGCAATATCAGAATGCGCATGCGTATGTCCTCTCGTTGAAGGTCATCGGGGTTGGGTAACAAATGAGTTATTAATGCCGCCACTGTACGTGCCATGGTAATTTCAAACTGTATATTAAAAATGTGAGATTGGGGCAAAAAGACGAAACTGTTATAATAAAATCATCACTATAACAGTCCAATATTTCATTATGGTGTAGATACATTGAAATATTACACATCATTATGTATTCTATCAGTGACGTCATAAGAAAACGTATCCAAGGCAACGGATGGATGGGTTAATACAGAAATTTATGAAATGTAATTCACTTGTGTTTTGTATGTTATATGTACTATTATGCGAATATAATGTTTGGATAGCAAGTATATTAACACAGTATATTTTAATAAATCATTGTACCGCATATACCCGTGTGATGATTACCATCATAAAAAATAAACGAGATTGGATTTGATATAGCAGATGCAATTTGCAAAAAGCGCATTTGAAATTGACGATCAAACCAATTGCTACTATATCTATATTAACTCATTCAGTTTTACAAGATTGATTTATCGTATGTTTCATACACACGTCTTTGAGTCTTCGCAAACGATGTGAACTTTGTGTGCGAGAAGTTATATTGCCAATAGATGAACTGAGATGAACTATTTCCATAATTAACCTTATGCCCACGCCTTGTCCCACGTTTATTTATAACTATAACATCAAAGATTTAACCGGTTGTCTAATATTTCTTTTTGAAGAAAATATATAATATTGATCACAATCTCTGAAATGTACATCTACCCATGAGTCTATAAATCATTACACAATGATATATTACGATTTTTTACTTCGAAGTAAAATTTAAGCAATTAAAAAAAAAACCACTGTATTGTGAAAAAACGGCATAATTCTGAAAACGAGTGCGTACCAAGTAAATCTATAAAGAATTAACGGTATCGGGTAAATTGAAATAGAGTATACACAGTCAAGGCTGTATATACGTTTTCCTAATCATCTCGGCTAGTATAAATTACAGCCAGGATGACAATTATTTCCGATCTGGGAAAGATTAATCTTTATAAGAGTGAGATTAATCTTTATAACAAAAACCTGTTTGATGTGCATGCAAGCATACAGTTTCCACGAGACTGTTATTGGCAGTGGCGAAAAAACAAACTTGATGTAAGTGTTATAAAATATATAGTGAGGTTAAATTTCTTTACCCCAGTCAACACGGTATAAGTAAATTCCAAAAGTAGCAAAATGCTTTTTTTTCATATTTAAAGAAAAAGCTGCCCTGTACTGGCGTTTTGATTTTGCCAGCTTTTATTTTAATGTCCTTTGTAAAGTTTACAAACCAGATGGACAATACTTACTGATTTTAGTTTTCTTCAGTGATCAAATGTACTCGCGCATCGGCATAAATTAGAACAAGGGGACTACGCAAAACACAAGCATACAACTAAGGAGTATTAATGTATCTTGGCCGTGACATTTAGCAAACCTATTATAATTCACTCTAAATGATTTAAGGAACACTTGCACAGTAACCGCCACACAGACTGATACACTCACGGACAGACGCATAAATCATAGGTTTCACCTTGACCCGTTTATCTCGGAGACCGGTAAATTGCCATTTACATTACCAAACTGGACGTTATTTTAATTACAATGTACATTAAAAGTTAATCAAGATAAATTCGCCAAGCCGTTTATTGGATTAACTAATATGTTGTAATAGAGCAAAGGGACATCACATGGCTCGTTAAACAGCAATTCTGCCTTGTTTTACGGCTCTCAATTATGTAAATACAACATCGGTGTTATATAGCTGATTATTCGGGGAAAACATAGTAGATTGTTTTGTATATGTTAAGAGGTCGAAGTGCCTATCTTAGAATCCATGGTTAACAACGTTATCTATATTATACATTGATATATTCTTTTCTTTTATCTACACGCTGTTCATTCAACCATATGTTATTATTCTAAGAAAGCCATAAACAGTGAAAATCAAGTGTTGATGCAGAAAAAAATAAAAAAAGCGTGCATTGGTTAATTGTTTATTTTTGTATAGAACATACGATTGTCTTTGCTATAAGGTATTGTTGTATTGTTATAAAGGTATTGTTGTAAATATCACTAATTCTCGACATTCTTGTTCAACACAGGACGAAAGAAATCAAATAATGACGACGAGTGTTTGGATCAAGCAGGTAAGTAGACGCAATATGTAATTGATTTGTAGACATCTGTAGGCTGAATGAGCTTCATTTGAATTGTAACATAGATTGTATGTTTGTCTGTCTATTTTGGTAATCGTATGTCTGTTACATATATTTTAAAAAGCTTGTTATAAGCGATATGGCAACTGAAACCTTATGTATTTAAGCAGCGCCTCATCAGTTACATCACTTTTACATCGAGGAACTCCCATCGATTGACGAGTATACGTTAGTGACTTGGAAGGTACATTCTGAAAACCAATCGCTATAAATGCAGTCTGTCTTCTATACAAAATAACTCGCTTTCAAAAACGTAAACCAAAGTATTACAATTGGTGTGAATTCAATTAGATGCAGATGGGATCATCAAATACACATATTTATAGTAAAGTATGATTTACCCGATGGAATATAAAACGAATATATTCACTAAGTGTATTTCCTGATGAGCCGCTGCTATAGCAGTCACGTGTCAGGACGGCTATACAACGTATCGATATTATTACGTGCGTGTCAGTCCATGTGTATTCCGGTAATGAGTTTCTGGTATCACTGAACCGATTCCTATTTGGTAGTGAATAAAAATAGATATTACGCGTGACGTGATGAGAAGATAACCTCTTATCAGTTCCAGGGTGTTATCACCGCGCACCCGATAACAGATCCCTAGTTAATAGTCTTTATTTGTTTGTAATCCGTAAGCAATGAACACGATAAGCATGCATTTCACACTTCAGTAATTGTATTTGATTCGAAAGGTGTTCGGAAATAGTTGTAAATTACACTCCTTTCAGACCCGTGTTTCGTATTGTCAGATACATCTAGCGAACAATACATTTTTTTATTGGAAGTCTGCGAAATGTGTTTAATTTCTTTCACTTCGGTGAACAACATAATCAGTATAGCGGTGGAACAAAATGCATATCTGTTTCCCCTTATGAAATTCAATGTTTTGCCTTATTGATTAGTATTCTATGATATCATATTAAAAAACTGTTATACATGAAAATATATATATTTATGTGACAACAATGACAAAAAAATCAACAGTTGTTAATATGTGACACATTAACCCATAGGATCTTCATTTATGTGAAATGGGAACCATCACATAAACTTACAACATCGATTTACCACATTTAGGATGTCACAGTGTTACCAACCTTAATGAATTGAATGTTGGAATGTTTAGAACTGCTGATTCTTTAAACCGCGTTACATCACAGCTAAGCTGGTTTATAAGTCCGAGTCTAGTTTACCTTTTCTACTTTAACTTCCCATACTTTTGAAATCACGTAATATTAAATAATAATTTTGTTTATTTTGTATATTATACACACTTTTCTAGATTTCTGTACTTGCTTCAAGTAAAATAAATAAAAAAAAATGAACAAACAAATAAATTATTAAATAGTTTATGGTTTATCTTGATATATATTTCATAGTATGTATATGTTTGATATAATATTAATATTTATTTTATTTTCATACCCGCAGCATTGTTCATTATTTTTTGGCGATTCCTATTTATGCATGTGCCTGTCTTGCTAACAAATAAACAAATATTATAAAATATGCAAACTGGACATAATTAAAATAAAAAAGACAAATGGAATACGGAAACAGTTAAAATTAATTAACACAATTCCCTTGGATCTACGTGAAAGATTATCAACAAGAAAGCCATTGCCCCATTTGTTTGTTTATTCTGTGAATGCACCGTGTTTCTATAGCAACAATGTAATCTAATGACACTTGAATTTACATATTGCTGATACTTTGTGAACAGATTTATCTTTATGGGCTGGATACGATTCTTGCGGCTCGTCCGATAACAATTCATACAGGTTTACGATTCATAAAGGTTTTATCATATACTTTATAGGTCTAAATATTACGTGCAATTGTTTCGAGCTACTGACATCACCAAGACGCGCGAGTGTTCAAACATTCGGTCGTTATCGCATTCTTTTGATTTAGAACGCGTAATCTCTCAAATGTGGTTAAATTTCGGTCCTAATTATTGTTTGTATCCGACAGCTAGTTGCAAAAAATGTCATGTAATGTGTCGGTAACTGAAATAAGGTTAAACAAGGGAAAGGAAAAAACAGGGGAAGTTCAACTGTTTTTGAAGCTCTAAATAATGACACAATGTATTAGGTACTACATTTAAAAAGGGGCCACGTAGCATGGCGGTTTTTAATAGTTTGACGCATGTTAGTTAATACATAGACAATATAACGTATTCCCATGAACTCCTGCGCGTGTGATTCGAACCGACCCTTCTTCATCAAACTGTACTGATCATCTTCAGTTATACACTTCCATACTTTCAGCGTCGATATTTTTCTTATCTGAAGTTAATCATTAACATAGACAATGTCTCCGAGGGGTTGGCTATATTCTAAAAGACGAACGACTACACATCCGCACAATGTTGTTCACTTATACATCAAGGATTTCACACATCTACGTAATTTTTCGTCGGTAGAGGGTGCGCTTAGTTTACCGATTTGACGCATTATGCATTTCCGGCGTTTGGATGAACTCGCTTGAGAATTCCGGATAATTGCTCAGTGAATCTGTCTAATGACCCGATGTGAACTTCGTCGCATGGAACTAACTTAAATGGCGGCAGTCGTCACGCCGCGTCCTGTTCAATATGGGACTCATAGCGACGAATACAACGCGTGTAAAATACATTGTTTGTTTACATGGAATTCAAACACGCGCCGCGCGACGACCTCTGCCCTTCTAGTCACGTTTATCCTATGCCAATTTCACTAACAGAATCAACACTGATACTAAAAACAAAAACACCAGTTGCAAGGTCGATAGTTAAATAAACGTATTATCGACAAAAAAACCAAAAGATATACTCACCTTTGACATTGCAGTCCTGTTAAAAGTCGGTTACAACATAAAACTCCCGCTTCACGCTTTTAAATTCAAAACAAAGAGCAAAGATGCATCTCCACTGAGAAGACGGGTCGCGGTGTGTGTGTAGTAGTAGTTTTACTAGTTTTAATAATGTAATACAGTGCGTTTCACTAAACAAACAAGTTCAGGGAAAACGGTATATGTAGAAGTACGTTTACAGACAAAATTATAGTGTCCTCTTTCAGTAAGTTTTATCTCAAAAACGTGAAACAGACTAGACAACGATTACTTTAATGTCACTACTATACTGCCCATCTCGTTTTTATTATGAACACACCAAATACATCGTGGTTGAAATAAATAATTAAATACTCGATTACACGCATCAGTAGTTAGCTTATATGCATATATATATATCCATATTGATGACGTAGAAAGTTTTCGGAGGTATTCAAAATGTTTGACAAGATCGTAAGTCTTGGTTACAACGCGTACATAGGTTGTATAATTATATCTGTGAATTATACTGAATTATCGATTACCGTGTAGGCTATTAGAGTTTGTCTATGTGTGGTATGAATGACGTTCGAGGTGGCTTCTACAAAGCATTGAATTATTGAAATCGAAATCGAATTATTTGTGCAACTGAAGGTTATATTCGCCCTTGTAGTAATGTTATATTTGGTCCATGAACGTATTACATCACGGCAAATTAGAACTGCCCAGACCAGAAACACTTACTGGTGCCATCTTAGAGTTTTTTCTTTTATTTAAAAAAAGCAATAAGCATCGCTTCAGACTTTAGTTCAAGGTTGATTTAATTCACTCGTGAAGTGATTCAGAATGAAGTGTTCACATAAACGTGAAAATACCCTGTAGTGATTGCAACCTTCACTTAAATCTCTTGTCAAGTTTAGTTCCAATCTGTTCGGGAAAAAATGTGAGCCCAATCAGGTCAACATACAATTTGAGAGACTGTTTAAGTTTCTTGAGACATCAATATACTTACTTTCAATCCGTATCCTTCATGGACATTACAGACAAAATCGACTAATGGAGGGAGGGACGAGCTTACGGGAGCTGTTTTCAAACATAGGCGGCGATAAGTAAAATGGTGGGCCAAAACAAGCCAGAAAAATTCTAATTTACTATAATTTTAAATAATTCTAATTGCACCCAGAAAACTTATGTAATTTGAAATCCCAAAATCCGATTTACAGATTGTTAGTTGACGGTTCACTACTTTCAAGTAGGCACTAAATTCTCTACATAGTATCTTGATGGACATGTTCGCTTTAATTGTTGAAATACTTATTCCGATGGAGAATCCAATTGATCTGTTAATTCGACTACCCTAAGCTTATCAATGTGACTAAAATGCATGACGTCACAAGTCTCGACTCTTTGCAGAAACCTCGTAGAGCATTCGCAGAGACTGCTAAAGTAGTTCATTTAGTTTTAACTTGTATAGGAGCTTACCTGAAGGGTTTCAAGACATACAGGAAAAAAAAGATGTGAAAAACTGTCATTATTTGGGGGGAGGGTTAATTTTACGCTTTCCATGTTTGTGGATGCTTTCAACTGTCGGTTTGTCACGACCTCTTAGCAGGCTAACCGTTACTAGCCAAATTGCATATTTGTACTTAACTCACAACTTCGCTCTCATTCTAAAATAAATTAAAATTTAAAAAAAATCACAAAATCAAAATCAAAGTAAAATAATAAAATAAAAGGGCATTAATAACAAAAGTAATAACAAATAAAATTAAAATAAGTTTATAGCCAAAATAATTAAAGCCCGTACACTACATCAGATTTTAATCAGATTGGACTGAGACTTGTTGAAAGATCAAACATATAATTGTAGGTTGGTTACAGAATCCTATAACCAAACAAGCATTGTACTGTGTATTAGAGTGCGACGACTTATGAATAAACTGCTATCCTTCGTTTGACCTTTAACATTTGTCGTCAATCATCGGAACTGTTTGTTGAGGGCGTACCTTTCAGCATGTCACGACTACATCATGACCAGGGGAAGTTTGTCGGACATTCGAAAGGCACGTGTTCTTGTCGTGGTTCACAGACGCTCATAATCGGCATGCAATATTTGTACCACATATCTCTCATTCAATTAATCATGTACATTAATGGTCACGTGACATTACACGTTTTACTCCAGCTAAAATACCCCGGATGTACCTATTCTATACCGTGCTATCGAATATGCATGAATTAAAAAAAATAAGTCGGTCATTTAACACCAGAAAATGTACAGTTGTATATCCTTGGAGAACCGCCTGTGGTTGACCCAGACAGTAAAACGTTTTAGTAGTGTTGACGTCATGAAAATAATCCGTTTACTAATAGTGATGTGTACACCAGCTTATACATGAATGCGAATCGTTCACTTTCCGCTGACGTCATACTCTAATTATTGAAATTAAACGAGTGATGTTGATTTCTAAATAAATGTCGAAGCTGCTTTAAAATTACGAGCATAAAATCAACAGTGTCAAGAATTAAAAATTGACCTCTGAGGTGGTCGCGGTGGCGACCTATGTAAATAAACGTACGCAGTATTTGCCAATTTTGAATAATGTTCTATTTTTGGTACCGAAATTGAAACTGTCCAGATTACGATCACTTACGTTTGTCGTATCTCCACTCATAGTATTAGTGAACGAGTTTATTAGGTCGTCATCCGTCTGGCATTATTAATATTAGTCCCGCGTCAATCTGCTTTGAATTAGAATTTGTTTACATGCTATTTTTATTTTTAATACAACACTATTCAATCAACCAAATTATTATTAATCTCTTCATTTTTATCTCCCACAGGAATGGCACGATTACCGACTACAGTGGAACCCTGCAAACTATAGTGGGATTACAACAATACCCGTGCCACAAGACGCTATATGGCGACCCGACACTGTTCTCTATAACTAGTATGTACTGAGCAATATACCAATACTAAACATTTCACATCAGATTTTATTTGTCTATATATATATATATATATATATATATATATATATATATATATATATAT